TGTATCACCACTTAACAGCGTCATTTGTAAATAGCTCAGCGTGAGCAAACTAATCCAATTTGAAATCTTGCCCCTTTGCGGCATCTTGCACTGAACATTGCCTTAAAAATCATAATTGTTTTTAAGAATTGGGATGAAAACAAACTGCTTAAGGAATACAGGATTATGGTCTGTGCTTCACCATATTTCCATAGAAACACAGCATTCATTCAGTGCTTGAATCCTTGTCAAAACAGTCGTGGTTTAGGAGATTCAAGTGATTTCTCAAGGTTAAGCTTCCTTATGGCGATTCTCTTTCCAGCTATGTCAAACACTCAGAGGAACGAGGCCGGGTTAATATATCAGAGATACAATGCAAGCTCACCAGCGCAAGAGAAGGTTCCCAATACAGTCAAAAATGGATAAAATGCTCGGTGTCCGTCTTCAACTGTCAACAAAGCAAAGTAGGAGAGTGCAGCACAATAGCAGCACCTGACTGTCAGCATTAAGCTTCTGCCTTTGTGCTACAAGGCTCAATGCAAGGCCTGCCCTCAAGTGTCTGGCAGAACCCAAGGCCTAATTTTTCATCTCTTGTATTTATACTTGCTACACAGGCAGTCATTTTGGACTACAGATCAAAGCAATCAAAAAATGGAAAACTAAATTCATTTGCAATTGTGTTTTAGGCATTTTACAATTCAGGTTGCTTAAATTCTCTCTCAAGCATGAAATGGACATAGGCTGTACCAATTCGGGGATTGCTGGGGTAATTCGGGAGTGGCTGGACCAATGGTTCTCAACCTTTTGAGACTCGAGCCCTCCCCCACATCCTGGGACAATGCCAGCTCCTAGCTTTCCTTCATTTTCTGACTGCAGAAAAACAGCAGCAATTCCTTTATTGCAAAGAAGTCTGGACAATGCAGCCAATGAGAATGTTTTTACCATGACATATCCCCATTTGAAACCCCTGGGTTTATCATGAGAATCGTGTTTGCATACCTAACCTTGCGAACATTGCCTGGCACTACACAGCACCCCTGAAAGGATCTCAAGGCACCCCAGGGTGCTGCAACATCCTGGGGGAGAAGAATCACAGGCCACACAGATTGTTGCAGGCTACAAGGTGAAATTTAAAGTCTCCACCAAGCCCATATGGCGTGATTTATGAACTTCTGAAACTGTCCGCGGACAGAACTGCTGATAGGCATCACTCCAATCACACATGCACTCCTCCTCTAATAAAAACATTAGACACTGTTCTGTGTGAACAGCCCGAGAAGGAGGCTGTCTGCAGAAGAGAGTTCAGCTTCATTAAGGCATCAGAATAATTTCTGGTGAAGACTCGAGCCTTCTAGTTTCACAGTATACCAGAATGTGATGGTCTAAAATCAGGGGCGGGCAATTATTTCAGCCAGAGGGCCGCTTAACAAGTTTTGGTGAGCTACCGAGGGCCACAAGGGTGGCTCTGCCCCGGTCACCATCTTGGGACTAGAAGTCCCGCACCCTAGCCTCTGACCTTTGTTAGAAGTCCCTCCCCTTGCCCTGGAAGTACTCCTTTTGGGAAGGGGTTTGCCATCTCGAACTGGAAAATAACCAACACATTATATACTAAAAAAACAAACATTTGTAATAAAATACTTTGATTTTATTTAAAAATATATTTTTTTGTCCTGATTTCTGTGCATCTGTGCTATTTATAAGTGATTGCATAAGAGCTCTAAATGCAATCTTACTCTTGTATATTGTGGGGGGTGTGGAGGTGTGTGGAAGGGTATGGAGTTTGTCGGGGGTTGTGAGTGTGTATGTAGGGCATGGGGGTATTGTGGATGTGGCTGGGTGGGTATGCGGGATGTGGGTGGGCAGGTGTGAGGTTTGTGGGGGGTTGTGGAGGGGAAGGGTGGCTGGGGCTGTGTGGGTGCGTGCGTTTAGCAGTGAGCAGGGCTCCCCCAGAGGTGTGCAGTTGTGGGGAGGAGGGTTTGAGGATATGTGGGGTATGCATGGGAGCTGCCGCATGCACCCCCCATAGCTGGTCAGCCCTTGCCCCCACCCTGCAACAACCCAGAGCCTGGGCGCTCTGCAGTGCCTCCCTACCACTGACAACAGTACACTGCCCACACCCACTCTGCCCAGCTATGGTGCATCCTGCTGCCCCAGGCCTGCAGCGCTGGCTGGGCAGAAACTGTTGCTCAGCATGGGGGAGGGAGAAAGCAGCCCTCCTCATCACCGCTGGGCTGGTTTTGGTGCAGCCACCCAGAGCCCATGCTGCGCCAGGCTGCCCTGCGGCATCTGGCCCACGGGCCATATTTTGCCCATCCCTAGTCTTAAAAACCAAAAAAAACCTCAACAAACAAAAAACCCAATGATGCCAACCCACCTTTTTTGCCAGGCATGCTGCAAATTAGCCCTGTACCCTCCCCCAGTGTCACTCCAATTCCCCTCCCCTGCCTGATCTGCTGCTCTGTTTTCTGCTTCTTTCCCTGGGTTTTTCCTGCCCCATCTGCCACTGTGCTGCTTCCCTGTCCTCTCTCCCATCCTCTCCAATCCACACACAGAGGATCCCCACGCCACCCATCTTGCAGCTTGGTCACCCTTGGTCTAAAATGCTCATGATGACTCAGTGATCAAACCCATGCACTGATTACATTATACATGTGTGACAGACAGAATGAAGGTCAGTTGTTCTCTGTGCCCATATGGGACAAGACAGCAATAATTGGCTGAACTCAGGACAAGGGAGATTTAGGTTAGATATTAGGAAGGTTTGACTATGAGTTGCTAAGTTCAGGTACAGATTACCTAGAGAGACTGCAGAGACTCCATTACTGGAAGTTTTTAAAATACAGGTCAAACAAGTGCTCAGCTGGGCAGGTTTAAGACAGGGATGATCCTGCCCTGAACAGGGGTTGCACCAGATGACTTCCTAAGAGCCCTGGCAGCAACCTCCCCTCCCCCCAAACACACTATTTTATTTTATTTTTTCAATTATCCTAATATCAACTTTGCCTTCACTTTTTCAGGTGCCCTGTGCTGCAAAGGTACACTTTCAAGCGTCAGTGTATTCCCTACACTGTCCAATAATCAGCTGGAACCACAACCTCGACAGGCCACTGGCTGACAAGCACACATCGAAGCCTCCGCCAGTTCCAATACTGCATGGTGATGTGTGTGAGACCCAGTTCTAG